AAAAAAGGGGGGGGGGGGGAGGCCCCCAACACCTTGGGGGAAGGTAAAGGAGCTGCTCGGTGTGTTCTGGAGGTGGGAGTGTTTCTTCTCCCCCTTCCACCCACTCCTCTGGGCAAAAACCAAACTGGGCACCGAGGGCTTGTTTTCTCAGTGGTTTAATTGCAGCAGGAGGAGCAGGAAGGGGAAATTCAAACAGCAGAGCTTTGGCTCTTTGTTGCAGGGCGAGGAAAATGCTGCGTTTCAGTGGGGAAAGCTGCCTTTTTGCCTTCCTCAGTGGCTATGGGATTGTCCTGCCTGATGTCTACCAGAGCAAGAGCCACCCATGGGCTTCCTACAAAGAACAAAGTGAAGGGGTGGGTGATGCTGGGTGCTTGCAAGAGGAACCAAGGCAGTACAGCCCAGAGGGGGTCCATGTTTGCTAAAATCAAAGGGGAATTTCTCTTTGTGACTAGAAGCAGGAACAGATCATAGAATCACAGAACCGTTCAGGTTGGAAAAGACCCTTGGGATCATCAGGTCCATGTTGCTGGATGCTGCCCTGGGCTGTAGCAGAGGGCAGGGCTGGAGAGCTCGGGGGGAGCCAGTGCTCGGGTACAAACCATCTCGGTGCTGGTTTGACACATCCTCGTGCCACGTGTTAACACGGTGGAGGAAACGCTCCTGCTACTGCTCTGGTGTTAAATGACAGGGAATGTCCCAAACTGAGGTTTTTTTAGAAGGTGCAGAAAATGTTGCTAACCCCGTCAGCAGCGCTAAGGGACAAGGGGCTGCCGGGGACCTGAGCTTGCAGACACTTTATTAATAAACCTCCTTTGCAAGCAATGTCCTAGCTTTGGAAGACTAAGACCATCATTAACACCGTCTCGTAAGGCAAAACTGGGGCTGTTTCACAGCAAGGGGTGTCATTAATACAGTGTATTAATAACCTGGCATTACCGGTCCAAGGAATGCCCTGATCCAGCTGCCTTCATGAGGCCACCGCACTAACTTGATAGCTCTTCTCGATTATTCCCTTCTGTTTCTTTTGCCCCCAGCAGGTCTAAATTGGGTTGTTTCTGGACTCTCTATTTCAGGCTGGGGCTCCCTGCCAGCCCCTGGGCACCTAAAGACCTCATCCCACCTGGCTGCACCCTCGATGCTCAGCCCTGGCTGGGGGATGTCGGTGCAGATGGTGGCTCCACGGTGGCTCGTCCCCCTTTCTCACTCTCCCCCATACCCTCTGTTTTGCAGACACCATCAGTGAAATCCCCGCGCGGGCGTTAACCGACCCAGTGGAGTATGTCCCAAATCCTGCTCCTGATCTCCCTTCGCTGCTACTAAAGGGGAGCGACCCCCCCGCCCGCCTTTCGCCCAGCACCATGGTGGGGCAGAGCCCTCTGGACCCCAGTGAGAGCAGGACTGCTGTCCTCCTGGAGCCCTTCGTCCATCAGGTGGGCGGCCACATGAGCATGATGAAGTACGACGAGCACACGGTCTGCAAGCCCCTGGTCTCGCAGGAGCTGAGCTTCTACGAGTCGCTGCCCTTGGCCATGAGGCAGTTCACGCCCCAGTACAAAGGTAAGGAGTGAAACTGGGGAAGGAGCTGAGGGTTGGGGTTGTCACCAGTCTAAGTTCTGAGACTGGGAGAAGGGCTGGTGGGGGCCGGTTTGGGCTGGCTTCGAGCTGTGGAGCCCCATCACTTGGGCAGGTTTTGAGAAGCAAGGATGCTTCCTGCGTGAGTGTGAGCCACGGGAGCAGGTCTGTGAGACTGGGAGGGTTCTCTGGGTCTCTTTGGCTGGGGAGAGGGGGATTCTCTGATGTCTAATAAGGGTTGAGTGCTCATTGGGGGCAAAAGAAACAGAAGGGAATAATCGAGAAGAGCTATCAAGTTAGTGCGGTGGCCTCATGAAGGCAGCTGGATCAGGGCATTCCTTGGACCGGTAATGCCAGGTTATTAACACACTGTATTAATGACACCCCAGCTGTGAACTGATAAGCTGGGACTGCTTAACATCTTTATTAGAGAGACAGAGCAGGGCCCAGCTCCCCAGCACCAAACCCTCAACTGAGCTACAGAAAATCAGCACTTGGTATCTGTGGGGGTCCTGGCATTTTTAAAAGCCATCCCTCCCTCCCTTCCTCCCTCCCTCTCTTTCTTATTCCCTCACTATTTCTGCTTTTACTGCCAGACTTGTGCTGCTCATAAAGCTCCTGACCCTGGATTTTTGCGAGAGGCGAGAAGCTCAGCTGTCACGTAAAAACTTAAAATATCTTTTGGTCCTTCAGCGTTACAGAAAAGAGCTCGAAGTGTCAGCCGCGGTTTCGATGCGCTTCCAATCCAATCTCTGCCTTTCCCAGAAAGTCAGGGGCCTTTGCAGATTTATGGGACCATATTAAAAAGATGCTTAAGAAAGAAAAAAGTCTTCCTCTAAGCAATTTTCTTTAGCAGGGGCCAGGGTTTGGTGCTGGAGAGCTGGGCCCTGCTCTGTCTCTCTAATAAAGATGTTAAGCAGTCCCAGCTTATCAGTTCAGGGGTGGCCCGGTTATTAATACCTTTTTGTCTTCTTTTTTCTCTTCTATTGCAAGTCCCAGTGAGTTTTGTGACAAGGGGTAATTAAATAGCAATTTTTCTCCAATTTGGCATTGGGCACATGCATTTTTTCATTCTGATTATATCCGTCCCAGCCCTGGCTGCCGGGCAAATTAAAGAGGTGGAACATTTTCCCACGAGGGTGATGAGCATCAGGGGGAATGATCCTGAGGTCTTCATCACCCCCTCACACGTGTCCATGTTCCTCATCTCTATTCTTAGGCTGTGGGGAGGGAGGGGGGGGACATGGGACAGCTTGGGGACCATTATGTAATGATGACATTATGTGCAATGGGTGATCAAATGTCATCATTCAGCTCCAACATGGAACTGGCTGCTTAAAAAAATGTCCATTGCTCGCTTAACCCCTTCAGGCGGGTTGGTGACCTTGGGACCAGCTTTCCCCCCCCATCCCCTTGCAATCCTCTGCCTGCCCCGAGCTGATCTTGCAAAGGGGATGCTGGACTTGTTTTCAAGCCCCGGTTCTGCTCAAGTTCCTCTTGCACGGGGCAGTAAATAAATGCGCTTGTAAATTTAAAAATAAACCCATGAGGGCAGAGCTACAGAGCAAGACGCTCCTGAGCATCACTGGGATGCCACTACCCTGGTGACAGCACCCATAAATAGCTGCTGGGGCTGGCCAGGATGGGGGGTAGAGGTTTGGGGGACACTAGAAGGCCAGCAAAGAGAAGCACCTAAACACACCTTTGCTCCCAGATAGCTGGTTTCTGGCTGCAATAAAAGAGGAGGTGGGTGGCCATCTGTTACACGGTGGGCTTGCACACGTAGGTCACTTGCAGGACACGTGCAAACCCCGGGTGGACACACACTAGGAAACAAAAGTGTGTCTCAGGCTGAGACGCAGGGTTTTGAAGGCAGAGTTTTCAGCTGGAAGGAGTGAGAATTTAACAGCTCCCAATTTAATGGCTCGTTCTCGCCTTTGAAAATCTCCCCCTTAATTTTCATATTAATTTAAGATACTTAAAACTCTTAGTTTCATGCTATATATAACGTTTTTAGGGCCAGATTGTCAGCACTATGCAAATCAGCACAGCTCCATTGACTTGCAGATATGGAATTGGGGCAGTTTTTAAGGTTACAGGCTGCTACGGCGCCGTAACCGAGGCAGAGAGCTACATTTGGAATCGAGGACTCTGTTCGCCTCCCAGTGACTTTTTAAAAATAAAAAGGCTTTGATTTAGGCAAAAGATACGCTGGGTGTTTTTTTTCCCAGGGCTCGTTCTCGCCTTTGAAAATCTCCCCCTTAATTTTCATATTAATTTAAGATACTTAAAACTCTTAGTTTCATGCTATATATAACGTTTTTAGGGCCAGATTGTCAGCACTATGCAAATCAGCACAGCTCCATTGACTTGCAGATATGGAATTGGGGCAGTTTTTAAGGTTACAGGCTGCTACGGCGCCGTAACCGAGGCAGAGAGCTACATTTGGAATCGAGGACTCTGTTCGCCTCCCAGTGACTTTTTAAAAATAAAAAGGCTTTGATTTAGGCAAAAGATACGCTCCTACCTCCCGTGAAAATTCAAAGCAGGCATCCGAGCTGAGAGGACTTTCACTTGCTCTCAGTTATCTGTAAAATGGGATTTTTTTACAAATGGGACTCAGTGAAAGGCGGGTAACGTTGGAGCCCGGGGAAGACAGAGCTCCCTGTGCTCCCCATCACCGTGAGCAAGGGACTGAGAGAGGTAAAAATATTACTTACCCACTATTTAACGTTTCCACCCCCAGCTCCCTGAGCAAAGCAGCCTGTGTGTATTCTTCCCACCATTTCAGAGCAAAATTAGCCAATTTAACCAAGCGTGCCACAGCAGGCTCTTTGGATTAATGCTGATTTTATAGCAAAAGGGAACAGAAGTGGTTGTGGTACCTGAGCAGGAGAGCTGTACAAGGGGGCAGGAGGGAAGTGCTGGAGCTGGAGGGCTATGGGGTGCAGGACCCAGGGAGGGGTGGGCACCCCGAGTCTCGCAGAGGTGGCCAGTGGCCACAGACACACGGGGGTCCTGCAGCTCAGGTGGTGAGAACCTCCCTCTGTCAGTAAAACCCATCAGACAGGATTCTGTGCACACACGGAGAGGGCAAAATCCTTCTGCCGGTGTTTGCTCACTCTAATCTCACTTTAAACGGAGGGAAGGGAGTTTGCATATTTATTTGCTTTGGCAAATTTGCCTGGGAGAACAGAGCTCCCTTGTTTGTTAAGGTGCCGAAATGCACCTCCCTGCAGTGCCCAACAGACCAAGCGAGGATACCCCGGGGGCAGGTGGATAAAACCCAGCTCCATGCGTTGCTATCGGGGGCTCTTTCCAGTGATGAGTTTTGCTGGTCCAACAGCCTCCACCGGCCTCTTTTGGATCAGCCTTACTGTGGTTAGACTTGAAAGCAGCAGGGTCAGCATCCCTCCTGGGACCCAAAGCGGGGATGCTCTAAAAATGCCTCTGCTGCTTTGAGAGGCTCAGACAGCCCTGACAGAGGGCTGCAGGAGCGGGACCGCGGTTATCAGCCTTTCCCAGAAAGGTCAGAGCCATCTGGTATGCGAGCCATGGCCATTCCTGCTCTGTCATTTGAGCCGGGGAGGCAGCCGTCCCCGGGCCAGGGATGGGCTGAGACCGGGCTAAATCTGTGACGGGCTGAATGGCATCTGAGCCCTGCAATTCCGGCTGGAGTCAGGGAAAATTGCAATGCTGAAATACACAATGGTGTTTTAAGCACTTAGGGTGGAAAGTAATAATCCCCCCTCGCGCTCATGTTCCCCCTCGTGCGTGAACATTGGACGTGTAAGGGTCGGGTTCTCCTCATCAGCCGTTTGGGGGCTGGTCCTTGGCACCTGGAGAAGGACATGACCATGACAATGTTGGGGCATCACGTACGCGGGCAGTGCTGCCAGCCCACGCACATGCCTCTGCCCTTACTGCTGGGGCCTCTCCAATTAAAGGAAGGAGTTGGCATGCTGGTTGTATTTGGAAAATTCCTGGTCCCCAACCCTCCCTTTGCTTCCTGCCAATGAAAAGCATTTTCAACCTTGCCCTGTCTTAAAAAGTGAGACCTAAATCCCTTGTCATAAATAAGCCAGGAGCTCCAGGTCCAACGCTGGGGTCTTTTCTGGGTCACTTGTGGCATAGCGGGGCCTGGAGGGATGGAGGACAAAGGAACATGATGTTCAGAGGAGGCAGGTTTCAAGCCGAGCCTTCAGAGGAGGGAACATTAGAAAAGCCTGTGGCTGTTCTCCAGATTCTCAGACTAATGGTGTTTTTTTGACCTCAAATCAGAGGGGGATCAGTGTGAGAGGCCAAAAAACCTGAGGAGGCAACTGTCCTGCTGAACACCAGCCCCTCAGGAAGGCTGGACCATCTTGGGTTGGTGCAGATGGTGGCCAAGCCTGTGTGGTAACCCATGGCTTAATCTCATTCTGGTTTGTTTTTTCCCCATTTTTTTTGTCCAGGCATCGTTTCTGTGCACCTCAAAAAGGACAGCCTTGGCAACTTGACCCTGATCGCCAGCCCCAGCCTGCAGGCGGAGAGCTGTGGCCGGCTGGATAACGCCATCGGGGACTCCTCGGTGACCATATGGCACAAATGCAAGTGGGCTGCCAGCACCGGCACCAGCAGCGAGCACACACTCGTCAAGTGGAGTCACACACAGCTCACCAAGACCTTCAAAGACAGGTGAGGGTCCTCTGCTGCCTGCAGACCTCCTCTTGGCCCTCTCCTGCCGCTCTGGGTAGGGTCGAACCAGGATGGCTTTGGTGGCACTACTCCTGGTTTAAGGCAAAGTGAGCAAAAGCAATGCCCAGCCACGGTGAAGAAAAGCAAAGCCCATCTTGGTGGCTTCGTGGTTCATCTCTTGATGATGGAGTGGGGCAGATTTGGGTATTGCTGAGATGCTCTTGCTCAAATATGTGCCTCAATCCTTGCTTTAAACCTGTTTCCTTTGAGCACCATGTGCTCCAAAGGGCAGAGAGGCCCCAGGAGAAGAGCCACCAAGAACAACACGTAATGAACACCCTTCTGCTGGTGACCAGCCAGAGGTGGCAGCCTTGAGGGTGGCTCGATCCTGTCCTTGTCCCAGGGGAGAGCTGTCCCTGAAAGGCATTGAGGTGCCTGCAAGCACACCATGACCTCCAAGGAGAACAAATCTCCTCTTTGCTGCCTCCCTCCCCTCCTCAAAGCCAGCCCCTCTGTATTGGGAATCGTTGCTGTTGTGGGACAATTTGCCTGTGTTGTGCCCGTTAGGTGGATAAATAGAGATTCCTGGCCATTGGCTCTATGAATGGGGCTTTTCATAGGAGCCAAGCACACTTTGAAATTATAATGAAAGAAAATATTGGCACGCGGCAATGGCTGGCTTTCTGAAAATGACTTTTACGGAGGTAACAAAGGATCTCCACAGGTTGGACATGATGAATATGTTTCCTTTGAGAGTCCCTGAAAATTCACCTTATCAAGTTTGAGGCTCTGCAAAAGAGAGAAGGGGGGGAAGGAATATTCTCTTCTGGAGCTTATAAACCAAACGTGTTCTTTTGTGTGTTTTGTCTAGCTGCCCAGGGAAGATGCTATTGAGGACAGACCTTCAGTACGGCACAGATTCACTTTTGGAAGATGCAAACAGAAACCAGCCAGAAAGAAACAGCTACAACCCCTGGGGACTGCACTGTCACAGGCAGCACCTGAACCGCATGTCCTCCAAACATAATGAGAACAAACTTCATCGTATCCTTTTTCCTCTCTCCCTTCCAGCCTAGTCTTGGCTACAAATAACAGCTCGTCATCGATGTATGTTTTATTGCAGGGTCGCAGTCCTGGAGAAAACACAGAATATACTGAATACAGTTGCTCTGTTATCTTTTCCCACTGTTCAGTTGGCCTAGATGATCATTGCAGGTCCCTTCCAACTGAAATATTCTGTTCTGTTCTATTGTATTCTAAGAAAAAACCCCAAACCAAAACCAAAAAACACTTCCCTTAAAGGGTATTCAGCATAAGTCAAGGATCCCCTCGGCATACATTTAAAAACACAACTATAGAGGAATTAGCAGCTGCCTCGCCTTTTATTTTCCTATTACACTTCATTACCCATCAGTCATGTGAGTAATACGGCTTAACAGCTTCGCCCACCCCCCCGGGGTGAGTCCAGCACTGAGGCAAGGTGTCGGGTCCACAGCCCAGGGCTATGGTGTCACTCCAGAATGGAGCTGTTGGTGCTTTAATTGGTAGGACTGTACTACAGTAAATTAACTGGAATTGGCAGCAAGGGGCCTATAGCAATGACATGTTGGCAAAATTGGCTCAGAAAGTCTCATTACAGTTGTGAGCTATTATGGAGAGCGTCAGCAGTTGCTCTGATTTAAGACCTCTTGCAATTAGAATTTGAAAGTACTGGGTTTCCCTTAATTCATGCTCAGAGTTTCTACTGCTTGAAAACGTGGTATCAAAATACAAGTATCCCTGCATCCTGGACCTAAAGATGGGGACCCGGCAGCACGGCGACGATGCCTCGGAGGAGAAGAAAGCCCGGCACATCAAGAAGTGTGAACAAAGCACCTCTGCGTCCCTGGGCGTTCGCATCTGTGGGATGCAGGTAAGAGGGAGTTTCGGTCCTTTCAGTGTTTGCCCGACTTGAAACAGAGCTGGAAATCTAAAGGGACTCTTTTGGTGCAAATTCAAGAGGTTTTATTCTTGTTTCCCACCAAATACAGGCCGTAAGAACTGGCCACTCGGCTGCGTGTCCTGTCCTCAAACAGGAGAGGGTGCTTAGGGAAGAGCATGGAATTTGGCACTTATGGGGTGACCCTTCCCCAAATCCCCTCTTTGGCTTTGGGGGGAATTGGCTGCTTTCACAAGCAGTGGCTGCCTAAGCACCACCCTGCACCAGTGCCACCAGTAGGAGCAGCTGGAACCAGTCTACCCCAGCTGAGAATCTGCCTTTACATGAACACAGATCCCCCCTCACGCTCAGGTCTGGGCTGCTGCACAAAACCAGAAAACCCCAAAAGGATCCCTTACCCGGCTCGTGCCCGGGCAGAGCTGTCTTAGCCTGTCACCCACAAGAGCGAGGGGTGTATTTTGTGCTAAATATTGTGGTTCCTCTCGCTCAAAATCGCTGCCCTTCCTCCCAGAAACCACACATTTGTTTCACTCACGCTTCCCGAGCAGGTTTCAAAATGTCGTTCTGCTGTGCCTGAAGGATAATTATGACAATGACGATTATAAAGCACACACAGAGCAGCGTAAACACTCGGTGTCAAAACCTGTGTCCCTTCCCGGTCTCTGACATCCTTCTGTTGAGCAGATTATCCCTTAAATTACAACTGGCGTGTGAGCTAATTCTAAATCCACTCCCTCATTTCTCAGGCAGTGCTACCCGAGCCTCACATACAAATTTCTGTCGGTGTCTTGTCTCTCTGTGGTTAAGAAAGCAGGATTACTGCTCCCCGTGCGTTACGTGTCACGAGAAGGCACAAAGCTGGGCTCTTCCCCCATGGCTGCAAACCCTCACCGTCCCCAGAGGGGAAATGCTGTAAATCACGGGTGACGCGGCGATGACTTACAGCTATTTGGGTTTCACAAGGGGGTGATTTATAGCAGTACAACCAGAATCTGCGTGAGTGGTTTAAATTGAATAGTTTAAATCTCCAGAAAGGAGGGGAGTGTGGTTCAGCGAGGAGCCAGCAGCACCTTGCCAGCATCACTAGGTATCCCCAGAGGCAGAGGATCTCTGGCCCATTCCTTAGCTCAGTTATGAACTTTTTAGATCAGGGCGAAATCTAGAGCTTGGGGCAAACTCATCCAACTCAATCTGGATTGTTGCTCTCCTTCCTCAAGGTTTACCAAGCGGACACTGGCCATTTTCTCTGCAAAGATAAGTATTACGGCAGGAAACTCTCCCCGGAGGGATTCAGGCAAACCCTGCGGCAGTTCCTGTGCAACGGGAACCACCTCCGGACGGATCTCCTGGAGCCCATCATCCTGCGCCTGAAAGCGCTGCTCTCTGTCATTAGGAAGCAAAGCTCCTACAGGTTCTACTCCAGCTCTCTTCTCATCATTTACGATGGACAGGAGCCCAAGGAGAACTCGGCACCCTTGGATAACCACCTTCACTTCCCAAAAACGAACTGCACCACGTCACAGAGCCCCAGAGTCGACGTCCGCATGATAGACTTTGCCCACACCACCTTCAAAGGCTCCAAGTGCAATCACACCACGTATGACGGGCCAGACCACGGCTATATTTTTGGCCTGGAGAATCTCATCAAAATCCTTCAGAGTATCTCAGAAGGAAAATGACAGATTCTGTGAAATAGCCTGGATTTACTAGTGACCGATAGCCCTGAGAAGGACCGCGCCGGGTCACTTGCAGGGGACCCTCCCAGCTGCTGGATGTCACGTGCATGGGACATCATTGCTAGAAAAAATAAAAGATACAAAACTCGCTACGTGCCATTACCCAACTCAAGCGTTAAAAAGCAAAGAGCCAAAAGAATCCGTTCTGCCTGCAATCCATCAGGAGATTTATCTTCCTTTCTCGTCTTACTGCTGTCCTTGATTTATTTGCGAGCCACACGAGAGCATTACCTGAAAAAGTCTTAATGATAAAGCTCACTTCCCCGCTCAGGAAGCGAAGTGGGGTAAGGAGATAGTGGGTGTTTGAGCCAGACTATTAAAGCCAGACGGTGGGTGTTGGACAGATTGCGGCGTGGCTTTGGGCTCCTGCTCCCGCTACGGGCTGAGGGCAGAGAGAGGGACACAAAGGGGGGAGAAAAACCCACCCCCCGCCCCGACATCCAGGCTCCCCCCACCCTGGGGTGTTCTCCGAGGCACACACACACACGGAGGGACGAGATGCTGCCAGAGGTTCTGCGCTGCTTGAAGGAATCAAAGCAGGGGGACCCCAGACCAAGAACTCGACCCCGCAAAGGTTTAACGTCCCTGCGGGGGATTGAAACAGTTCCACAGACTTTCTAAGCCACGGGCTCCGTAGGGGCTGGACGTAAGGGAACGCGATGATTCTGTCACCAAAAAACAAACATTCACATCAAGGGATTTTTGCTTAAAAAAGAAAGAAAAAGCAGTTAAAAAAAAAAAAAAAGTGTGAGATTGAGTCAGGGACTAGACACCAAAGGTCACCTAGAAATTCTTTGATACAAATATTGTGCGTGTGTTTGGAAGAGACAATAACAAAAGACTCCAGATTTTTGTTTACAGCTTTTGTGGACAGATTTTATTCTTACGGAACAAACATGATTCCTTCCTGCGTGGGGTGGGAAATGCGTGAGAGAAATCCTTTTACACAAGGATCAGAGCTACAGAACCCCATTACTGGCGAATGGGGATAAAAATAAAATTGTCTAAGCAACTCTCACCTGTCGCCTATCTCTTTTTCACTCCCAGTGGATCCTTATGTTGCGTTATCTGTTTTTTAGGGCTGTATTTTTTGACAAAAGCAGTTGTTTCCACAGGTTTAAGCACCAGATCTCAAGGGAGAGCCCTTCATTTGTATTTTACTGCACACAGCTGGTGAATGGCTACAATTTATAGCTGGAAAATTTAAGTCATCTGGCCCAGATGCATATATTACTTGGCCTAAAGTCCAGCAGGGAAGACCTCATTATTTACTGGATATTGTTCACAGTGTTGCACGTTTCTTGCTCGCAAACTCAAGACGACTATAAAAAAGGCCACAAACACTCTGCTTCAGTAGTGAAAGGATTGAGTCACTGATTGTCTTGGCTCAACAGGCAGCGTGGTCTGGTGCTGAGTGCTAACTGTGGCTGTTACCAGCTCTGCTGATGGGGTTTACACAGCGTCTGCGTCCCTGCCAGGCCTCTCGCTGGCTGCCTGCGCTGGGATGCCAGGGCTGGAAGTGGGGAAGGGTTGGGAAGGGTCCAAGCGTGACCCCAGCAGCCAGAGCCCCTCGTAAGGAGAGCAAAACACCCCCCTTGGCTACAAACCTCAGCTCTCATCAGTCCTGAGAAGAAAACAGCCACCTGTTGCTTGAACAGTGACAGAGGCATCCCGCTCCCTCCCTTTTCACCCCTGACAAACAAGCACATAATTACCAAGGATTTAACCATTTGCCTGCCGAGGAGGAGATCTGAGCCAGTGCACAACCTGATGTACTCCATGTGCAGGAGGGCAAAACCAGGCAAGACTTTCTAGGTTTTTAAACGGCCAGAAGCCAAGCACTGAGGTAGCTATTACGTGCCGCGCTGCTGGCGGCCTGGCCCGGGTAGGAACAGCACCGTATGCTCAGGATCTCTCTGCCAGACGCACAAAGCGGGCCGCTTGGCAGCGCAGGCAGCCACTCAGCAATCAATGGGTAAAGCCAGGCTACCCATCAGCTGCCTCTCCAAAATACAGGGCAAGCCGTGAGCTCACCAGAGGTGGCCACTGCAGCCCAGGCGTCGACCTCCCCCTTTCCAGCGGCCTGGGCCTGCGCGGCCTAGGGGCACAGCAGCCGCCTGAGGGCCCGGCCTAGAGATTCTCCCCGCCCTCACGGAAAGCACCCCCGGGAACGGGGGGGGAGGTGGACGGGCAACCTCTCGGGAGCCCCCCCGCCCTCCTTTTCGGTGCTGTCCTCCCAGGAGAAAGCGCTGAGGGGCAGCGCCGATGGCAC